ATATATATATATATATATATATATATATATATATATATATATATATATATATATATATATGTTTCGGAATGTGAAAAGGCCTTAAAAAATTTTGTGATTGTCTTAAAATCGTACAAGCATTTTATAAAATCGTATTTTCAATTTATAATTTCATGACTAATATTAATATTAATATTATAATATTAGGTTTCTGCAATTGTACAAAAATAGAAGAAAGATCGAAAGCGTTTTGATTTAACAAATTACAATTTACTGTATGATTGCAATGCGTATAAAACATTGGAGACTATACAACAAATAGCCTCAATTATCTAAATGAACATTCAACGAATATTTCATAGATCAAAACAGAATATAAAAGAATAAAAATTATAATCAAAGAAGCATATATTAATAAACATATATTAATCAACTTCGACAAATGAAAAATTTTTGCGCAAAGCATTCTGGCTAAGCATTCAGTAGTCTTGATTTCAAAGATTAAGATTCTTATTTCAGAAAAGGATCTCTGTAAATCCTCCCTTCTAAATTCGCCTATCTTTCATAAGATCTTTATAATAAGGATCAATTATGGATTTACTTATAATCCTATATGCCGATCAATTTTACACATACGAGCTGCACTATGAAGATCCTTGGTCCATTTTTGATGCATACGTTTATTTACAAGAGCGATGATTCACCGCATTTCAAAAATTACAAGTCAATTGCGCAATCAAAGATTTAAGTTTTACCAAAAGCTATTATAAAGATAATTTCTCTATTTCGCACGTAAAGTAAAAAAGTTGTAAAATAAATAAAATAAAAAATGTAATAAATTGTATATAAATTGTATATAAATGTAAAACAAAATGCGTGTTTCAAATAAAAAATATTAAGAATAACAATATTTATCTAAAATCTTAATTAGAAATGCAGAATGTTGAATAAATAAATTTTAGTGACGAGCGTGAAATTTTTCATGAATTAAACTAAAGAGTTTAATATAAATAAAAGAAAATAGTTTAAAAATAAAATAAAAATAAAATAAAATAGTTTAAAAAAGTTTTGCTTTTTTAATTTTTTCATACTAAACATTTTCGTAACGGCTTTCTCGGATAAATAAAATATTATTTATTATATTCATTATATTTACAGAAGTTAATCTTTCGTTGATATCACCATTGTTTTGAATTTTCAATTTATAATATTTTAAAATTGCTGATCAAGATTAAAAATTCAATTAAAAATAGTTACAACATAATTCTTTTAATTCTTTTCCTTTTCATTCTTATTTGTTCATATAATTAAAAAATTATTAGAATCACTGAACTATTACAAATTATATAAAATGTTATTAAAGACAATTTTTTTAAATGCCGTTCTGCTTAATTTGATTTGATAGAAACAGTGTACAACTTTTACGTTACCTTATATTTCCATTAAAGAAATTTGTCTTTTTATAACATACGTAAAATTAATTATATAAAAAGCTTGTTTGATCATGCAATTTGCCCGCGATTTTTGGCTTCTATAATACCACAATCAGGATGAAATTATTCTTTTTTCTTCCTTTCTTTCTTTCTTTCTTTCTCGCCTCCAGAAGGAAAGGCGACATTCCACCTCGCCGTGATCGGTATGGAATTATCGAAAGTTCTCATTTTATTTATCTCCATTGTGTATATGTGTGCATGTACATACGATTATTATGTATTTGTGTGTATATGCTGGTACTTGTATGTATGTTACGTTGCATGCTATTATTTGTATATAACACATTTACAATAATAACAATATATTACTTGTCATCAATGACATGCATCTTAACTCGCATATTATACACACACACACACACACACACACACACACACACACACACACACACACACACACACACACACACACTACACGTACACGCACGCTTACGCATACGTACACGGACATGCACATAGAGTATTTATATACATATATAATTATATATAAAATTATACAGGATGTCACGCCACCATATTATTTCTTAAGGACATGTTCTTGAGATAATTTTGAGACGAAAATCTTTAATACAAAAATGTTGAGGTTATAATACTTTTCAAATTATAAATGATTATAGTTGACCAATTGTAGCGGCTAAAGTTACATTACTTAGGCAGGATACAATGTATAGTGATTACACGCTCGGGCAGGATACAATGTACAGTGATAAAGATGTACATACTATTGTATATACATATATATAATTTCAGTATTGACATTAAAAATAGAGGCGACGAATATACCTCTTTGTCATTATATTATTATATCAAGCCTGAGCGTGCGAACTTTAATCGCTACAATTGGTCAACTTTAATCGTTTATAATTTGAAAAGTATTATAGTCTCGATATTTTCGTATCAAGATTTTCGTCTTAAAATTACTTTAAGAACTTGTTCTTAAAAGATAATACTGTAATGACGGGACATTCTGCAACACACACGCACGCACGCACGCACGTGTCTGCACACACGTGCGCACGCGTGTGTGTGTGTGTGTGTGTGTGTGTGTGTGTGTGTGTGCGTACACGCATATATATTAAAAAAAAAATATAATAGACAATAGTTTAATACGCACATACGCACACGTATATTACGTGTGTGTGCGCAACACGCACGCACGACTTTCTCTTCTTCATTCTTTCACCTGTCCTTATGCAATTATTTAATCGTACATCACAAAGTTTTCAAATGCATGATTTGGATTAAATGTCAGCAATAGCGATGTCATAATAATCATTATGAATGCTTGAAAATGGTATTTTTACATAAAATTACGTTTTGCACTTCATAAGCGTTGTGCTAAATGTATTTGTCCTACGAAATGGCAAAATGTCGCTGCAAATGTTACATAATTCGTGTTTAATTACTTTGAGGAAAGTATAAAGATTACAAGGCTAAAAGAACAAATTTATTATAATTAATTATGTACGGAAATTATTATCTAAAGGGAAGTAAATGTGCATGTGTGAGAAATATTTTCTTCTGGATAATCTCAGTCACAAATTTGTTGCGTTTTAGCATTCCCTTGTACTAAATTTTTTTTCCTCGCAGTTCTTTTATCATTCGAAGATGAAATAAATATTATACATTTCCAATGAATGTGTGATTACAATTTATGCATATATTTTTACAAAATTAATTTTAAAACAATTTTTATAAAAAATAAAAATGAAATATACGCGTATATCTGCATATACATGCGATAAAATAAAATAAAAGAAAGATTGAAATCAGTACAATTTTCTGGTGAATTTAATTCTTCGATTATATGTGCACGATTATATAAGCACGGAAAAATAGCGTTTCCATTGTTACGAAATATACAATAATACACGTACACGCACACGTATACGCACATATCAGAATTTAACTTCTCCAATTTCATTCAATTTCTGTCCTTTTAAAGTTACATGATCTCAATCCAAAACAAAATCATTAAATTATTTCGCGCGAATATAATGTATTTGGTTTCTTTCACACGGCCTTTTCTGTTCCCTCACATTTCTTCACACTGCGTGGCAAATATGTATTTACAGATTTCGAAATTGATCAAGAATTCTTATATATTATAGATCTCCCTTTTTCTCTTTATCTTTCTCTCGCTCTGTCGTTCTCTCTCTCACGTCATTATAAAAAATTGATTCATTTCGCCTTAAATCGTTAACACTTTCCTTCCGCCTCTTCTGTCTCGGACCTCCTTTTCTTTCCTATCCTTGATAAGAAGTCAATCATCCGGATACCAATCAGATATTTCAGCCATATCTCAAATATTGCATTCTATGCTTTATTTTTATATTAAAATTTGAAAATATTTGACAATATTATTTAAATGTCATATTCGATTTTATTAAAAAATGATATTAAAATATCTTAATAAGTAAACCTTGATTAAAGTATTTGCTAAAATTGCATTGGTTGGAATTATTATTATTAACATTATAAAGTTCTAAATAATCAATGTTGTAATGCTATATGTTATAATGCAATGTTGAAATTTATTTTTAACAAATTGATGTTACCTTTTATCAAAATATAATATAAATATTAGCAAAACTGACAAAATCTTATATTATGTAAAATTAAATTAATTAAATTTTCTTATTGCACAATCTAACAAATCAAATTTATTGTTTTTCAAATATAATCCTATTAGTAATAATTATATAAAAATAATTATAGTATTCAAGTTAAAATATGCTAATTTGACAAATTTTATTATGCTTTAATGTATGATTTTGCATAATAGCTAGTCCTTCCTCTCTTTCTCCTTCTCTCTTTCTAAAACTTTTTTATATTTAAAAGATTATATCGTTGATCGTTGAATTAATAACACGTAGTTCGCGATAAGCATTGTCTTGAAATTCAGAAAAATTATTCGACACGAAGACCCAGTCTGCCGATGGAAGCCATCTATTGTCTATTTGTTTAAAAGATTATATGTTTTATAATTTAGATAAAATCGAATATATTGCTTGAATTTAAAAATACTTGATATAAAAGCTCTTAAATTTAAAACATTTTTTAATAAATATAATAATAAATTAAAAAATATGAATATATAAAGCATAAAAAAATTTTTTTCGAACTAATAAATACCAATTTTTTTCAGATGTTTTATCAATATATGGACTATAATATTTTATGTCAAAAATAAAACTATTATTTATCTAAAAAGTTGTTCAGTAATTCAATTAACTGTAAAGATAATATGAAAGAAAAAGATTTCGAGAGCAGTTTTGATAAAGGAAATACGTACATATCTTAATTTTGTCTATATTTTTATAAATACACTCAATTTCATAAAATTCGCTAATAAATCTCATAAATCAGCATCAACTGGTATCTAGATAATGAACATCCACTGATCGTCCCTGCAAGAAGGCTCGCGGCCATCGTCATACGGCCGTCGCGGTGCTACGAAAAATATTTCCAAGATCAAGCCATCACAGACAATAGTTCCGGATGTCGGAGGTGCAAGGGATTATACTGTGCTGAGACGAAAGACGTGCGCACTTTCAAGGTTCTCCCTAAAGTTAGCTAAGGTCGCTCTTACAATAATAACAAGATTTGATTCTATTTACATCTAGCTCTCCTTTCCTTCAGTATTCTATTTAATACTTCGAAGAAGTAAATGCTAAACATGCTAAACTCTACAAAATCTCAGATGATCCGTAGAGCACACATCCGTCGTCGTTGCGGGACATTTACGATCTGTGCATATTTACATTTCGTCGGCGATTCAGAGTCCTAGGCTCTCTCAATGCCCGCTGGATTTCGACCAGCCCGCATCAAGAGCCACTCACTACGCTGGGACTTAATAAAGTTAATAATGTTAAGGCATCGTCGTGCGTCGACGAACACGAGTTTTTCTCTGACGTTCGTTGGCAGTAGCGAAAATGTCGGTCGGGATCCATCACTTTCACCCGCTCGATCCAGGCACTATCAAACTCCCATGTCCCCCGAACGCACCATGATATCATTCTTACACAGACGAATAACACAGACGATTGAAAAATGATCATAAGTCTTCAAAATTCGGAAAACTCCTAAAATTTTAAAGATAGATCTTTGAGTTCATAGAATTTCAGATGTTTGGTGATTCGAATTGAGTCATCATGGAAGCGCGCAGTCATTAAATAAGAGAATTATTTTATATTTTCAAAGTTTGCGTTTCGCAAACTTGCGATTAAAATAAAATGTGGGACAATCTTTGAACTTCGATGAATCAGATCGGTAAATGTCGATTAAAGACCAAAATAATGATAATCCTTTTTATTCTTTCTTCACTTTTATCGGAGAAAGAAATTACCTTTTCATTTTTTAAACTTTTTTAAAAATCCAATATTTTTTTGTTTTATAAAGAGATGTCTTTTTTTCTCTGGGTATATACAATAAAGGAAAATATTTATCAATCTTGTTCCAATTTTTGTACAAACTTAAGAACCATTTTTTTTCTGGTACTTCTTCCAACCAAGATGAAGAAAAATATTTATTGATTTTCTTTTAATTTCCTCAGAAATTTTAAAATATTCTTATTCTAATTTTGCACTTAATTCCATCAAAATTAAAAAAATTTCTATTTTTTTTCTATGTTTCCTCAAAAATCTAAGAAGCTTCTCTTTTAATTGCTTTCAGACAACTTTCTTCAACTTCATATAATTGAAGCTTTCAATGATTTCGAAGGTTGGCAATTTATCCTTCAAACGAAAATGTCCTTTTCTTTTTATTCAATTTCAGCCAATATTGCGGCTTCGGACGCGGGAGTCTACGAAAAGCGTCGTTAGAACGAGCGCAGCGAACAGTAACGACATATCCTGATAGTGCGTGCAACGATGAAGAAGTCGGGGACCGTGCGGAACAAGTTCGCGCTCGAGTGTGAACCGCGGCCCCGGGTGTCATACCGACTCTTCTCGCTTGAAATTGATATTTTGAGAGGCGCAGAAGTCACGGGTAAACGGTATGCAATTAAACAGTTTGCATACTTCACACTCGTACACTGGCACGTTGTAGAAGAGAACAAGCAGCAGAGCGAATAATCCCACAATCAAGATCAAACAGATCCAGATCAACAGAATTTTTCGTCTGCGATCATAATGGCCAAATGAAATAAACGGCATAAGCGCATAGGCCGTCAGGAAGCCGAAGATGAAGCCGAATAGATGCGCGTAGTTGTCTATCCACGGTAAAATACCCAGCACCAGCAGCCCTAGCAGAATCAGGATTAACTTGGACAATGCGCGACGTGGATGCTTCAGCATTGGCCAACAATGCAGCACCTCGACAACCAGCGTGGCAAGAAGAGCAAAATGTGCACCAGCTGGACCAACCTGTAATAAAATAGAAAACATAGTAACATTGTTGACGAATTCAAAAGGGATGGGGCCCGTTTGACTACGTTGCAATTGACTACCAGCTACTCATAGCGTTTGAACACAGGAAAACCTCTAGGTACCGGCCGCTGTGAGTGGCTATGGTCAATCGCAACGTGGTCAAAATGAGGGATGTTCCCATCCAAAAGTGGAAAGCTTATTTTTAGGAGCATACAGGATAAGTTTTTTAACTTAAGATTACAAAAATATTTCGAAAAACAAGCATTATAAAAAAAAGTTCCAAATAAACCCTTAATATTTTCGAGGGAGCAATTTCGAGTGGCACCCGTTTGACCACGTTAATATTGATCACAGTCCCATTTGATCACGTTGCGATTAGCCACATTGCAATTAACTATGTTGATATTGATCACATTGTAATTGACCACCCGATTGACCACAATCCCGTTTGACCACCGTCCCGATTGACCACAATTCCATTTGATCACCGATTGACCACCGTTCCGATTGACCGTTTTGAAATTGATAATATTCAATGTACTATTCTTATCATTGCGTTTAATAGCATTTTTTTATTTTATATCAAGTAATATGTGTAGTCTACTGCAATACGCGGAATATTCGTGTTCTTCTAACTCTTCCGAATCTGACATATTACAATAAAAATAAATCTCAAATCTTAGTAAAGAAATTTTTTTTAATTGATCTCTCCAGATGAAGAGAACTTTCCCCAGCTACGTATCTTCCCAGTTCTTCCCATATCTTCCCGGTTATACAATACAGGTCCTCTATTTCCCCTATTTTTTAATCCTTTTTTTCACTTTTAATCTCTTGTGCAATTAAGCACCTTCTCTTAATTGGATATAAGTTTCCACAAGAAATTATCAAAAATAGTGAAGCAATATATATGGAAAATCTGAATTTGAATCTGCTATCCATTTATGAGTCGATCGCGTTAAACACTGAGCAATGCGTCACTCCGTAAAGAAAAGTTAATTTTCCAGAGGTTATGAAATATGTCAGATGTATTATATAAATATGAATAAAATTTCGTATAAATATATATATATATATATATATTCATACAAAATTTTGGTTAACTTATTAATTGTTTTAATAATACAGACATAATACAGACATAATACAGATAATTATATAATGCATCTGATATATTTCATAACCTCTAGAAAGCTAATCTTTCTTTACATATTATCAAGATTTAAGGTTAATTATTATGTATGATTGCAATATGTAAAATTCAGAAGAGTTAGGAGAACACGAATATTTCGCGTATTACAATAGACTACACATATTACTTGATATAAAATAAAAAATGCTATTAAACGCAATGATAAGAATAGTACATTGAATATTATCAATTTCGAAACGATCAATTGGGACGGTGGTCAATCGGAACGGTGGTTAATCAGGACGGTGATCAATCGGGACAGTGGTCAATCGGGACAGTGGTCAATCGGGACGGTGGTCAATCGGGACAATGGTTATCGAACCGTGATCAACATATTACTTGACTATAAATAAAAATGCTATTAAACGCAGTGATAAGAATAGTACATTGAATATTACCAATTTCAAAACGGTCAATCGGGATGGTGGTCAATCGGTGATCAAATGGAATTGTGGCCAAACGGGACTGTGGTCAATCGGGACTGTGGTCAATTGCAATGTGGTCAATATCAACGTAGTCAATCGCAATGTGGCTAATCGCAATGTGATCAATTGGGACTATGGTCAATATTAAACGTGGTTAAACGGGACGCTCCCGGGCAATTCCCGCAAAAGTTAATCACTTCCCACCCCCCTTTGGGGGTAACTTTGAAATCTTAAATAGGAACCCCTATTTTTTATTGCAGATTCGGATTCTACATTCAAAAACACGTAAATTTTGTCTGAAACATTTTTTTTATTAATTTCCCTTTTTTTCATTTAATTTCCGTTATGTCTATGTCGTTAATCGTGAGTAAAGCTAAGAACGGATAAAAGATTATCGTAGACATCTAATAATTTTTCGATAATTCGAAAAACATGTTTCAGACAAAAGTTATTTTTTTTCAACATAGCATCATTATCCAATAAAACATGGGGATTTCCTTTGAAGAAAACAAAGGTTAACAAAAATTTTCGCCAAATGCAGTGCGATCAGGAATCGAAAAAAACGTTTCAGATAAAATTTACATGTTTTTGGACGTAGAATCTGAATCTGCAGTAAAAAGTAGGGCTTTTCATTTAAGATTTCAAAATTATCCCCCGCTCCACCTCTAGGGGAGAGGGGGCGGGAGGCAGTTAACTTTTGCGGGATAGAATTGCACCCTCAAAAATATTGAGGGTTTATTTGGAACATTTTTTTGCAATGCTTGTTTTTCCAAATTTTTACAGTTTCGTTAAAAAACTCACTCTGTATAAGGAATTATAGGAGTGTAGCCAATCGAAAAATAATATATTTTCCAAATTATGTAAAAGTCTTATTTAAATAAAAAGAATAGTTTGGAAAAATTTTGGAAAAATATACTTTAATTACTCAGAAAAATAAGATTCAAAATCCTAATCCTAATTAGAACAAATATGCAATTAGATAAACAATAATGACATTCTATATAAATAAAATTATTAAGTAGCAATTAATATGGTGGTCACGATAACTCAAACACAGTTTATTCGATCAATTTAAAATTAATAATATTAATTATTTATTAAATTAAATCAATTTAAAATAAAATAATATTAAAGTTAAATAAAATAACATTTTAATAACATTCCATATCGATTTATAGAAGCTTTCTTATTTTTAATTTTTTTCATAAATTATAATACAAGAAGAAACATTTCGGAAAAAAACGCAATTCTCTAATTTAGATAAGTCTAGACTTGCATAAAATAAAATTTAAAAAATTCTATTTTAAACTGAAAATAACGAGTATTATAACAAAAATATGCCTTTCTGACCTTGGATAATTTTATTCCAAACTAAAATCTTAAT